TGCTTCACTAGCACTCAACAGTAACAGAGATGTAAAATTACGTTTACAAGTGCTTTCATGAAGACCCTATGATATAAGGTGAATTTAAAATGATTGCTTTGCTAGAAACTGACCCCTTTCAGACTAAATGCACTGAGGGCGACTTGACAGATTTGACTTTGAGAGTTGTTTTAAATTAATTTACTGAACTTATTCAACCTTCAGCTATGCTGTATTTGTTTTCAAAACATTTGGAAGTAAATCATACTCTTACTGAGCCAGATTGGAAACACAAAACTGAACGATCCTGGACCATTATCACAGCTGCTAAGGGAAGATAAACAATCTTGGAATATCTGTTTTCAACTATGACAGGATGTGTATTTGGTTTAATCTTCAGAGCTAGAAAATATGCCAGTATACTGAAATAAACAGCTTACAATCCATATTCAGGATATATTCTTGCGAGAGCATGAGGTGAAAAAAAGCAACTCAATTCCGACCTCGTGCACACACAAATCTAGAAACACACACACAAGCACCCACACATAGTTGTGTAATGTAATCACTTATCCTCAGTGGTGGATGTTAATTTGCCACGCAGCACAGAAGACACACAATACTAATTAAAAAAGGCTGGATCCACAGGCTGTTTGTGCTGCCGCAGTCTGACTTATCTCAACGCAAAATAATTATTTCCTGCATTTGATCCCATTGATCTGAAACCAACATTCGTGGGCCACATTAGAAACAACTGCACACAATGGCTTCAATTAAGGAGAACTTACAATGTGTAAACTGCAAAGGGTATTCTTAGGTTTGTTAGTGAACAGGGAAGAGTTTTTAAAAAGTAAGAAGGCTTCTCCATCGACAACAGAAACAACATCATGCTGTGTTGCTGCCATGAAGATCCTCTTGAGTGTTTTGGGCTGGGTGTGTTTGTCTCCTCAGTAATGTGTGTATGAGAGCGAGAACTGAATGGATAAAAATATGTCTGAGTAAGAGGCTGGAATCAGTGTGTGTTTATTTACTTTTGATGGCAGGTTTGCCTGTTGCAACAGTGCTCTTACACAGGGAATGATGCTGAAGACTTGCTGAGCGATATGTGGCATCTCTGCCACCTCTCACCTACAGACAGCTCTTCAAATCCCCTGCCAAGAGTGGTTCCACGGTAAATCACACTTTGAGATAAGGGCCCAACAAAGCTGCCAGTCACCGACTGTATAATCATGGCAAGGTAGAAAAACCCCTCACCTGAATCATTTAGATTAGAGTCACTGAACCTCTTCTCTGAATCAAATACTTGCTCTTCATTGTGATTATCAGCTATAGCGCAGGCCGAGCAATCAGTCTAGCCAACATGAAGGGGAATTATTGCTTCACCCTTTCACTTTTTGTATGCTTCAGTGTGTTGTAGATTTAATTTCTATGAATAAAGTTGTCCATCAAATAATGAAATGTCTGCCCAACTATCTAAACTCAATAACCCATAAAGTGAAAACATTTTTTTTAAACATTTTTAAAAATCCAAGTGAAATCTCTGTGAACTGCCATCTTCAGGTCACCCCACAGAGGTTTAATTGTGACCAGCTGCAACAGAGCTAGCATAGCACGATGCTGCCACCACCATGCTTCACCACAGGGCGGGCATTACACGGTGATGAGCAGTGCCTGCTCTTTACCCGACTTAAGCTACGTTCACATTACCTGCCAAAAGTGAGTCAAACACAATTTTTCTCCCTCCAACAGATCTGATCCTATCTTTTGAGATGTTTTTTCAAATCAGATCTGGGCCACTTACACATGTGGCACAAGATATTTGACCATGCAACCACTGTCAGAACAGTCATTCATTTGTTATTTTGATCATGTGCATATTGTCTGTTGTCATCATTCGGCATCAGCCCCTCACAGACCAGTAAAAGTAAACACAAAAGAAAGCAACGACAGAGGTCAGTGGTGAGATGAGGAAGCTTCACTTCTGTTAGGCAGTTAGGAAAACAAAGTGGAAGGAACATATTGTAACCAAGCAGTTTTTGAGGGAATTGTGTGATTTGACTGTCACACGTATGACATTAATGTTTGCTTGGAGTTCTGCCCAACGAGTTCAACTTTTGTCTCATCAGACCAAAGAATCTTTTTTCTCATGGTCTTCGAGTCCTTTAAACACAGTTTGGCAAACTCCAAGCTGCCATATGAATTGTAACGCATCTTCCATCTATCCACTCTACTTGACTGAAGGAGAGCTGCGGAGATGCTTGTCCCATCTCTGCAGAGAAATTCTGAAACTCTGTCAGAGTGAACACTGAGTTCTTGGTCACCTCCCTGACCAAGGCCCCCCCTTTTGTAAACTTTATGTCATTATCAAATGGACAATATGGTGCGGCTGATATCTGATATTTCATAAAAGTCTATATCTGCTCACATACAGACAAGCTGATCTGTTTGCCTAATCTTACTTGTCAAACACGGTCATAAAATTACATTAGCTTACGCAGCACAAATCAGCACTCATATCTTCATATAGCCCCAGAGTACGATAAACATGTGCAGTTACTCCGAACAACGAGGAAACTACATAGCTGTCTTGTAGCTATCTTGGCTCAGTGCTTAACTGGACCAGTCTGATAAAGACAAACTGGAGACAAGGATTTGCTTTAACTGACAAGTAAAACTTTAACAGAAATCCCATGGGAAGCCCATAGAGCAATGACATTTCAAAAGATGAGGTTGAAGATAATGGTCCTGAGTTAATGGACCCCAGGTATAATAGCTAGCGATATACGCATGACTTTGTGTAACGGCTTGAGACTGACATTTGGCCTAAAGTGGACACGAGAGAGAGCTCTGAAATTCATCTGCAGACATGACAAGGAATTACGATTCCACAAAGACTGAACCTTTGCAGAGAGAAGAGAAAATATTGTCCTTTCATAACTTCAGTCCTGACTGTTGTGATAACTTTCTGACCAAATGCACTGACTCGGCAGTGCCTCCAACTCAGTCACCTACTCCTTTCTTCTGCCGGCGTCATCATGTCTCCACAGTCTGCAGTGTCTTAAGGGTGTGTGGGTATATATCTAATAGTATGGGAGGATCCTAACTCACACAGTGATGACTCAAGATATAGCCATGCCATTTTGTTAACAAAGTGGATGTTTCATGTTCTGATGTCTCCAATATGCTAGTGTTCATGCGTGTTTGTTATGTGCACAACCTAAAATGCACAGCACATTGAGTGTGGGACAAGGCAGGGTACCATAGAGGGGAAGTGCTGAGTGTCAATGCTAACGCTATTGATTCCAATTAATCACAATTATCCATTCAAATCAACAGGGCGGGAGCTTTATTTTCCACCCTCTTGCTCAGCACCATCTATTGAACACAAGCGATGCACTGCCAATCTCAACACTTGTTACCAGAGTGTGATGAGGCCAAATGATTCCAAAAGAGCCATAGTTTCTCACTGGTCAAAACACAACGATGGAAAGGGTGTTATGTTAATGGAAATCTATTTCTTGCTCATTTCAAACAGCATAAATGAGAGCAAAAAAGCAACTCCGCTGATTTTATTGTGCCTCCAACATTTTCCTACAAAATAAAATAAAGTGGTTAACCCACTGGTGGCACCAAACGCCTCCTTTGTAAATAATGGTTAGTTAACTGCACATCATCTGCTCAGCTCTGCCAGTAAAGCTTATAATCATATGAATGCTAATGACTGAATGTGTCCATCACTGGATGGAGATTAGCAGGAAAGACCTGCGCTGCAGAGAGCTACAGACGGGCGGAACAACTGTCTACCCCGCTTCAGAGAAAAGACAAGCATAGCCACACACGCGCATACGCCGACACACACTTTAGTCACACAGTTGGGCTCCTACAATACTTAATTAAAATCAGGTATAGAATAACAATGAGCAGCTTAATGGAATATGCAGAAGGCTTTAAGGATTTCCCTCAAGATTCAGCTGAATTAGTAACTGACTGCTGAATAGCTGCCCTCACCTTGGATCACAAATACAACTGTGCTCTGTGTTACATATTTCTAAGCAGTACAGCATTAAGTAATTAAAGGGGAAAAAATGGAACTGGCTTCCATTTTTGAGCTGCCCAGAGGGCTATACCTGCTTATATGGCTCCAGCCTGACACGTGGCTGGGTTGGGACTAGTAACATGATAAATCTCCTTTTCCACTGTAGAAATTTGGATATATGAAAAAAAGAAATCATGTAAAAACACAGTTAATACTTCTAAGCATTCTCATATTTTCCAAGCCACTGAAACACTGAAAATGTCAGAACAGTGCACTTACTTACCATTTGTAAGATAGTGCCTTCTTGTTTAAATCTTTATTTACTTTGCTCATGGAGCTTTTCATCTTCATTCTATGATTCAGAGGCATGATAAAATAAAATATGTATATAGCATAACAGCCCAAATCAGTTCAGTTCAGCTGTGAACCAACAGTTGACATTAGACAATTAGAAGGAAGAATTACTACACATCACAAAAGCGGCAGAGAGCCTGGTTTCTACGCTGAGAGCAGAAGCAGTAGACCAGAACATAACACAGCAACAAGTGGGATGCTCATTCTTATGGTGCTATTATTTCCACTTCTCTCTCTTTTTTCCCTGAATTCAACAAGTCCATGCCAATTCTCTTGAGACTGGGGAAAGTCATTCTGGAAAATGTTGAAAATCAATACCTGAAATTGAAGTACACGAGTCAGACTGAAGGAAAGTGGGTACACTAAAAAAGTAAATGAAAGCTCTTTGTGTCAGAATCATTCCTAGAATGCACCGATCGCTACAAATTGATATTTACAGTACTAATGCATGACCATTCAAGGGAGATTGACACTCGATATCACCCTCTCTAGCTCCATTGTTCCATTCAACATTCTCTTCGCTTATCAACACATCTATTACAGTTTTGCAACTCATGAACACAAATAAAGA